TTGATGAAGATGAAAAAATTTTTAGGAAGATAATTCTTTTTAATAGATTCGTTACTGAGGTGTTTTATTCAATTGGTTAAATATAATTATGTACATATTGATGATTTTTTTTATTACGTAAGATGGATTATTTGTATCCTAGTTTAATTTATAGATTAAACGAACTTATCTAGTAAAGTTCGATCATAATTATGCCGATGGGTTTTGTCCGGATGGAAAACTAATTATAGTCTTGCGCAGGCGAGGCGCATAATTTTTATTATTTTCACAAAATTATTAAGTGATTTTTACAGCTTCAGAAGAAATAAATACAATTTTGTTAAAATAAAAACATGACGTATTTGTTTTATTCAGCAGTGTTATTGAGTTCTGTTTTTTCTTTCGGTGCATAATTCGTCGTCAATCCATTCGTGTTCACGTTACAGTATAACAAAATGCAATTCCCGGCACGTTACTTCTAAATCGTCTTGTCTATAGTATAAAAGACAAATGTCTTATCTGGCAGTTTGTAAATCGTATCAGTGAATATTCATGCGACGTGTCACCGTGCGATTTACATTCTCACTTCCGCTCCTAAAGTTTCATAAAGAATTATGCAAAAAGAAAATAAAGCTTTAATTGACTAATCGTTATACCTAATGTTTATTTATACTGATAAAAGTTTCTGGTTGAAAATTAACGAATTCTGATAATATCAATCAGAATTTCAGTCATAATTGGACATTTAATTATTTGAACTGGAATCTAATTCTAATTGATATGATGAAAATTTACTGGTTTGTACAGTTACAAATTTTTCTCAGTGTAATTTATTAGAATACTGTGTATTATATAAATTAATATTGTATTATAATAAATTAGATAAAAATAATAAATATTATATTATGTATTATCAACTTCATTATTTTCATCTTGATTCTTGAATTTTGTACATGACATCGCGCACTTTACTATAGACATTGTTTTACAGACAATTAAAGAATTTTTGTTTCATTGTAGTTGTGCCCTCACTTTTAAATAAATTAATTTTGTATAGTTCATTCGACTGTTTAACTTCCTGAACACAAACATAGTCCCGTACATAAACATAGTTTGAACTGAATTTTCAATTATTCCATCGTACAGATATTAGGTCACTATCGGTTATTTACTAATTTCACTTCACTAGATTAAAACATGAAATATTAATTAACTACATTAAAAATTTGTAATTATACGCATCGAACATTAATTAACTCATTGTCAGAGATAATTATCCTAACACCGCAAATCAATGCTATTAATCAATAATAGCTTCAGCTTATTACCATATAATGTCAATTAATTTCTTCTCGCAGAAGTTGCGAAAGAAAAATCCAACTAAAGAAGAGATGCAAAATGAACGATTGTTGATTATATAAAATCTCGAGGGATTAAGCGAGAAGATAAGAGTTAACGCCACAAAAAACGCTACAACGGAAAACGGCATCAATCTCTTTCTTTCTTCGTGCCGCGTAGATAATGTACAAGGCTTATAATTTCTAAACCATCCTCGAACGACTCGGTGAAGCTAACCGTTTATCATCTAGGACACATTCGGAACGGGAACAAAAGGGCGGTTTTCCGAAAGGAGGCCCGACGAAGATCAGACGAAAAAGAGCAGGCAAGATTGGCGAAAATACCGTGGAAATAATGTCGAGCGTTGCGCGTCACCGCGCGTGAAATATGAAGCGAGAGGATTTATAACACGCGTCACTTCGTGGCCCGATTTGCCGCGTACATAACGCGATGTAACTGCACTTTTTCCGGGGCATCATACACGCAGCTTTCCATTTCCCATCCCCATCTCTTCTCTTGCGTGAATTGCGTTCCCGTCCATCTGGTTAATGCAATGCTTCTCGTTCGCGTAAAGCTGCTTGACGCTGAAATCAAATCCAATCGATATGGTTCTCGTTTGCGGCTTATACGTAATTCGAGATAGGTCGTCAATGGTAACTTGGTTTTATAGAAAAAATAATCTTGTTAAAATATCTAAAAATTTATTAACACCATACATGTTAAATTCGTTACGTCAAATTATATCAATTTGAGTTATTTTTAATAAGATAATGTCAGGTTCACGTTATTCCCGATCATGAATCCAATAACAATCCTGTATATCGTACATATGTATTAGCTCATGGATGTATGTATAAACTTGAGTTAACTCACTATCCGCGGATGGAAACTTCGCTAAAAAAAATTGACTACTAGCACGAACATCCTTTTCATTGGTGTACACGGAAGTTACTTCCCCTGCTGCCGCAGCTGATGCAAGCAACATGGGAACGGACAGAGGTATGGGAGCAACTCTTCGACGAGACAGATTAACATTGTCGATACGTCGTCGATGTCGATCAATGTCCAGAACACGGGAACGCATTTGTCGTATATCTGTTAGCACAGGATGACGTTCTACAACTAACGGTATACTAGTTGTTCCGCACGAGACTACAAAATATATTTAAAAACATTAGAGCGATCAAAATATTTATATATTTAAAAAATATATTTTTAATGAATTCACACAATATTATACGTACGATATTAATCTATTTTGTAAATATAATAATGACGATGGATATTTTTGATAACGTATTCTGTACGATAAATTTAAGAAATTTTTATAGCATAATACATATAATAAATAGAAAATTTTGGTATGTTTTTTATTATTTATCTTTTATTTTAATAAGAGATAAATTGAAAAACTATAAAAATATTAATGAACTTTTTTTTTGCATTCTACTTAATTTCAAAACATTGAACACATTTGAAAACATTTCGAAACACATTACAATAAATTTAAAAAAATTTTATAACATAATATAATAAATAAAAAATTGGCATATTTTTATTATCTATTTTTTTATTTCAATAACAAAAAGATTAAAAAAAACTAGAAATAGTAATAAACTTTTTTTACATTCTCTCTCTCTACCTATTTTCTATTAATTTACAATTTTTTATATTATAGATAGCTAATAGCGGATATTCATCGTATATAATATTAAATCAAAGAAAATCGTTCTAAAAGTTTTTTTTATCAATGATTTTATACATTTAATTGCTCACTTTGCAAATCGACATACATCAATAACGTGAACTCTCACATATTCTCTTTTATTACTTTATTACTTTGATTCATTTGATAGTGTTATTGGTGCTTTTGATAGGTATTACATTTCGGTTATGTATCGCTTCGTTATACATATACCGATGTAAAATTTGGAAACAAAGTGCTTCTATTTGGACCAACACAACTAGTCCGAATAAACGTGGCGAGTGAATTGAATCAAAACTATTAGTACATAACAACTTGATTCCATCACTTGCTGTGTAACTGCCATTGATACCACAGTGATGTGTATCAACCATAATTCCGACAAAGGCACGAATACGACGTAGCTTGCTAGAAAGCTCTTTGCTTCCATTATTCTCATCATTTGGCTTTTGTTCTCCCTTTCATAGTTCTTCTCTTCTCCTTTGAGCTAATAATGAGTGAACATGATCCACATTAGAAAGCCCTGCTGCTTCAAATGCAGCGCAGTCAAGTACATTGCGAGTAAGCGCTCTCATCTTGTTCTCCATCTCGTTGGCTATTGCCAACAAGATACACCATTAAAAACCGCTGGTTTTACGAGAGTTTGCATAGTTGGAAAGTTTACCATGCACAAATGCCTTCTCGGCAAATATTACTGCTGGAATAAAAAATAATAGGTCAAAGGAACTATGGATTGCAAAAAAAAACGTAGTCACGAGAAAAACGGATAACATCAACATGTGTATGTTTGCACATGCTTATTTGTAAACTGTTTAATTAATTGTAAAAGATTTTGATGGATATGAAATTCATAAGTATAAGTGCATAAAACTTTTACAAATGTGTAATTATTACATATAAATATTTGATATAAAACCAACGGCGTAACTATAGAGGGGCAGAAACGGCTACGGCTCCAAATCCAACGGTTGTTGGAGTCCTCAAAATTTAATTTTATTTTTAATTACATTGTCCAATACCATTTGCCTTGATATCTATAAGTCGTTTCCAATAGATCTTTACATCGAAAGATATAACTAACACAAAAATATTAAAAACACTTATTTTAGCAACTTTAATTGTGAGATTTTCTCAAAAATTTAACATGATATGCCATTTTTATGGTCAACGCTAAAATTTTATTAGAAATGATGATAAAACTTATGGCAAAAAAATGTACTATAACTACTCTCTTCAATGGTAGATTTTCAAAAAGTTATGTCCCAGGGTCCAAATTTTAAACTTACACCATATTGTATAAAACTTAATTATAGATTTTAATAGGATTAAATTATTATCGTATCAATAATTTATATCGTAAAATCTATATAAATATTAGGAAATATAAACTTACAATTAAAAAATCTAACATATATGATATATTTTACTAAAATATATAATAATATAAAGCTAATAAAAATAATTAAATATTTTACATATACAATATATTTTATTTAAATATTCAATATAATCTAATACATACAATATATTTAACTTTAACATTATTGTTTAATCGTAGTAAAACAGAATAACACAGAAAGCTGAAAGGATACACTTCTATTAGTTTGAATCTTATTATAAATAAACGATAGTTCATCTTTAACGAATAAGGAGCTCTTTGTGTTCGCAAAACGCTACAATAAAAATACTTTTGACGAGAAAAAGAATAAAGGATGAAAGGCAGATGCTTATCATCGGAATAAAACGGGAGCGAATGAATTGATTCGTCCGTCCGGGACGTTACTTGATCGATTATCGAAATAATGAACGCCAGTTTTCGAGACATGTGTGCGTGTGTATGTGTGTGTGAAGAGCCCATTGCGATGTATTCATTGCTGGGAAAACTGCGGTGGGCTATTAATACGGTTGCGTGCACTTTTTTCTGTTACAGATCGGCCTCGTGAATGAACGCGAGATGGACGTCTGAATCGAAGCCGTCATGGCCCCGTTTCTATTGATCCTGCCGCTACTGGCATCGCTGTGCTACCTGATACTGCCGATCGGTAAGCGATGCTCCTCTTCAACATCCGCTCGCCGGAAAAATGCAACGGCATCGCGAAAAAGCGAACGTATCGTGCAGCTTGAATCCCTCGCTTTCAAAAACGCTCTTAGGAAATCCCGTATTTAGTCGGCTTGAGTCGATAATCAATTGACACGTTAAAGAAATTATCGTGATTAATGATCGTTCTTTCTCGCATTGCTCGAGCCAATAATAAGACCGAGATAGACAAGTAGGAATCGTTTTAAAATTCACAAATACGTATAAAAATGTCTTTCATGTTTTGTTTAAATTACTACAATTAGGATTGTCAAGAACGACATTACTATTAAATTCACTATGTCAAATTATACATAATTTGAGTTATTTTTAATTATTCCTACAGATTGCCACTCAATACACATCATTAATTTAACTAAAGCAATGGAATTAAACCAAATTTAACTCAAAAGATGTCATCAAAAATTTAATTTAATTTGAAAATTATTATTTAAAAAATACATATGTTAACAAAACACTGAAACTAATTATATATAAACAATTCAACTACAGAAATGAGTTGATTAAATGGTGATTACTTTTTTAATCATATGTTTCATATTAAAATAATACATTTTAATACACTTAGAAGTTAAAAGTGACAAAACGACATTTAACTTAAAGAATTGATTTGATTGGTTTGATCTTTTAATATTACAGTGTAAAGTGTCAATAATAATCTTTCTAATTTATTAGCATATACATAATTACAGAAAGCTCTTTGCGATGAGTTATTTTTTAGAACACATTTATAGTTATCTATAGGAATAAATGTAGTTTAATGCTCTCGTTAATGGTTTGGGAATAATCTTCAACAATCTTCTATTTATGGACAGTCATATTATTACTTATGTATGTAATAACGTTCAGGATATTAATGGAGAATGTGAATGATATCAAACGACCCTTGATAACTATCGAGATGTTTCCGATAAGGGACTTATGTTAGGCAACTCCTCTCGTATTCGTGGAAGCCGAACGGAATTCCGTTGTTTCCCATCCACGATTTATGGTCTTCGTGCGCTAACGAGTTCCTCTCTCATGTGATAAGAATCGTCTCGATAACGGTTAATAGCTAGAACAAGAAGCAAAGAGAAAGAAGAAGAAAAGAAGATAAACGGGAATGAGAAAACTACAGATATCGACAGGCATATTATCTTCCACTTTATCTCTACTCAAAAATAATCGATATGTCAGCTGATTTCTGATAACGTTTAATGAGAAGAGAGAGAAACGAATACAAGTCTACGTAAATTAATAGTGCAATAAATATACGTAAATATTTATCCAGAAGTTATATTGTCAAAATTTTTAAACAATTAATATTTAAATTCTTTTACTTTGTTTTATACTATTAATTGTGCTATATTTATCGAAAGAAAATTAATATTTGGTAGGATATATGAAACATATCTCATTTTTTATTAATAAAAATACAACGAACGAAAGTACAGAAATATAAAATATTTTTTAAGGTATACATATTTTATACAATTCGCGCACACATAATAAACATTTCTGAAACATTCCGACTTGATGTTAAAATATTAGAAAGCTAGTTAAAATTATACTCTTATTGATGCATTTCCGCATAATATTTCATGAGTTCCACGTTCAAATCCAACAAACCGTAAAGCAAAAGTTTCGTGAATACAACCAGTTGAATTATACGCGTTAAACCGTGAAGACGTCAGTTCCATTTATTTTATTATTCTTTATATATCTCACAGTTCATTGAGTGCAAACGAAAACGGAAATACTGAATGGCGTGTTGCAACTTGCGCACTATATATTACATTCTCTTGCTTATGTTAACACGGATTTATTGTCTCGCACAAATTCAGAACAAAACTTTAGCGCGCCTTAACGTACATTTTCGTGAATACACCGTGTATGAAAACCACAACGAAAACAAACGCTTTTAGCCGCAAGACGTTGGTAGTTAATTTACGATGCGAAGATCCTGGCGGTTGCATAAGGACAAAGATACAAATCTTATAGAATATACTAAAGTCGTTTGTCCAAAAAAAAGTGGCAGACACCAGTCAAATAATATACTAAATGTATCTATATGTTCTAACATCTTTAACGATAACAGGATATTTTAATTAAACTTTGTAACAAAACTTTTATGCAACTACATATTTTCACAGAATTCTGCGTATTATTATTGCAACACGCTAATATCATTCTTTTTCTTCAAAAGTGACAACTAAAGAAGTATAATTTTCATGAGTTAATTACTACAAATGAGTAATTAGAGTTAAGTAAAGATTACTGTACTAATCATTAAAAGTAAACTAACTTAAATTCACTAAAACTAACATAAACTAAATTAAAATCAAGAATGACACATTTTCGGTTATCCTTTTTTTGTAAATAAATGAAAGAGTTTTTTTTTACAAAAAAATACATTTAGAGTTATAAGATTATTTTAGTGATTAAAATTTGAAAAAAAGAAATAGTTTTAATTTGTATTTAGTCATTTTAGCTGATTAAGGTAAATATATAAATTATAAATATATTTCACTTTTAATTATATCATTTTTGATGAATTACTCCAGATTTTTATTATAATTTTGAAAGATATCAAAATTGTTACCCTAAAAAAGGTGGGTTTTTAAAGGCTGTAAACCAAAATGATATTTGGCCAGATTTTTAAAAGTATATTTGTTTTGTTATATTATTTGACTAGTCAATAATTTTCTGTTAAGTTGACAGTTTTCCTTCTTTTCTGAAAAACTTAATTTTTTGAGTTAGCACTTAAAATAAAAGAACAATATTATAACAGCGATTTTAATATATGACACACACAAAATGAATATATAATTTCGGATCTGCAAATCGTAATATTCTATTTATCGTAATATTATATTAATTTCATAAATTCTATTGTCAAAGAATATCTACACGGAAAAACTTTTACTGAAATATCTGAAATTTAGCTTATATAGATACAGAGAGATCTGAAAATAATTTTGTTAGAACATCAAAATTATTACATAGGACACACAAGCATGATGAGAAATATTGTACCTAAACAGTTTTGACTAAAAATACTGCAGAAAGTTTTTTTGTATATACTTTAATGATCTAACAAAATTATTTGCAGATGTACAACTAACTGTCAACAAAACTATCTTTTCCATGAGTGTTTAATTATACTTTGCAAGTACATTTCGAATGTTTCGAGTCATTTACTATAGAAGATAACATTCCACATTTTTCATTGAAAATGAGATAAGAAAAGTTCTTTTATAAAGTTGTATCAAATGTCTAAGACACAAATCGATTTCCAATGCTACACCAGAGACTTCAATTCTCACGCGTCAAAATAGTTCCAACGGGATGCAGCCGGACCTAGTTCTTACCATGATAATGCATGATGCTATAGCACCGGACACGGCAGTAGCCAGGGAGAAATACGAGAGGAACTAACGCAACTTATTGCATCCGCAGATGCGATCCCGCATGAAGGGAGAGTAGTCCGCGGGGGCGAATGCGATGGAACTGCAAAATTCCGGCACAGCATGCGCCTCATTTTAGACGTCGACGTCTAAATCGTAACACCCCATGTGTATGGTATTCTCTAGGAACGTCTATTCTTTAGTAGGTCATATCTCTTGACTGCGTTTCTGAATCTTGCGATGGTTTATTACAAGTTTGCATTACACGTACATTCTCAACTAGCTATGTACAATAAATCGAGTAGTTTGCTTACCGCTTATGCTTTTTCATTCATTGAACAATAGTTTTATTTGTAAAATTATCCGCTATAAAGTAACATTCAGAAATTTCACTTTACGAAGCAACTTTATTCTTCAATAAACAAATTTATAAGAAAAGAAATATTTCATTCAGATATTCTATAAAGTTTTATTTTGTAAAATGTAATCAAATTTTTTAGTAAACAATACTTGCTAAATTAAGACCCAGTTTTTCAATTCGCGGTTAACTTACTGTTCGTCTGTATTTACAATTTTAGAATTGGAAAAAAAATGAGGAGTAAGTTAAAATTTTGATTAAAAAGTTGATCGCAAATTGTGAAATCGGCTTAAATATTTGATAGAAAAGGCATACATACATACCGAAGTTATGCTAGTAGTTAAAAAATAGGTATAAAAACGGCTTGGAAATACAATTAAAATTTAACACAAACAACGAAAATAAGATTGTCTAAAAATACGCATGCAACGTGTAGTCTCTTATTAACTATCGAAGCAATGTCAAATTGACAAATAAAATCGTAACGCCACGAAATGAGAGAGAGAGAGAGAGAGAGAGAGAGAGATAGAGAGAGAGAGCAACGAGACATAAAAGGCATCATTTCCGACGAGACTGAAACAGCGGAAGCGTGCGCGAGTAAACGAAACTGCCGTCGTTGCTTTAACTGCAGCATTGCTAGTGCGATAGTAATGATGAGTAAACTTACAATTAGTTTGTAGTCAGCGCTGCGAAATCGACTATATTTTACTGTTAGTTTCATTATTTATCAAAAGAATAGTATAAATTATTGTTTGATTTGATTTATTAAGAAACACAAAAACTATATTGTCTTAACGAAAGTATATAAGAATGTATTCATTTTCAAGAAAGTTTTTAATGAATTTTTTAATTTATAAATATATACATTTTAATATTTTATTATATTATTTATCGCAATTATATAAGAAATATTTGCCTTTAGCAATAAGAATTTTTGTAAGAATAAAAATAAAACTCAAAGAGAAATCATGGATAATATTTAACTTTTTCCAATTGCGAATTCGAATTTTTTATTAATATGAAAAAATTTCCTTCATAAAAATTTAATATTGACCAATTTATTATTGAAAGACAGTAATTCATTATTTATTTGGAGTACTAAAAGTACTGAACGATACTTTCAATATAAAGAAAGTTAATTAATTATTGTTTCTCAATATAAAATTGGCCAGTGTTAAATTTCTCTCTGAGAGAATCTAA